ATAAGGAAGACTGGCAACTTGCAGGTTGCATTTAATGCTATAGAATGGTGGTTTTAAGTGGAGGCATGGACGAACAAGTGGCAGGGAAAGCAACCAACCAGATTCGGCCACATCATCCCCCACCTACCTCATTCTAGTATAAATAGGAACATTTACCCCATTGTAAAAGGTTAGCATTTTGATACTCAGAAGCATATATTCTTACTAGCTTTTGTATTAGCATCAGAAGGCGAAGTGTCGTTCGGCCATTTACTTGTAACCAGTAATATTGCATTATTGCCTTAATACAAGCGAGTTGTTGAGTGCATGATAAGTTTAGCTTATTCCTTAATCATTTTGACGGTAAATCGTCCTTAATATCCCAAAGTTTGTGTTGGGCTTTCGGATCTACGGGATTAAACCTCAACATTGGCGCCGTCTGTGGGAACCTTGAACTAAAATCCCAAACAATCTACTGTCTAAGCAAGATTCAATTAGTCAACATGGTCAGAATCACATCGGAACATAATCATGGCACCTTCGGAGGGAAGGGGGTAGTAGAACACCCGGGAACTAGTCCACTCAGGGACAAACCAGTGGTAGAGGGTCTCTGGGGTATGGCGGGGACGTCGAGCACCTGATCCTCGAAGCAGCAAAAGGGGACCCCCGGCCGATGAGAGAACAGGCGGATGCAATGCGCCAAATGGCAGATGAGCAGGATGGGGGGTACCCCAGCTACACCTCTGAGACAGAGTACACAACCCCTTCCTCGATCCGTCCTATATATGCAATCATCCGAAGAGCACACTGACGATACAAAGATCAGCCGATCTTCAGTCCACTCACGGGCAAACAGGGGGGACCACAGGAGGGCCCATACCCCCCAACATAGGCAGCGCACCCCCGTTGATCATACTCTGTTCGTGCCCAGGCACGGAGCTCATTCCAGGGAACCTACTCCTGTGGTAAATCCTGTGGGCCAGATGTTCCAATATGTGGAAGGAGATGGGGAGCGTTTCATACGAAGGCGCTCGGGAGTAACGGCGCCCCGACCAGAATGGACCCCGGAGGTTATGGATTTAAGAACACCACCCTGAACGGCGCTAGAGGAAGAACTGGTCGTCATGAGGAGACAAATTGCTTAGTTGACCCAGCAGATGAACAGAACACCACCACCGCAAGCCCGTGTTGGGATAACCTCTCCCTTCACAAGGGAGATCATGAGTGCTTAAATTCTGAGGGATTGTAGGCCCCCGAACGGCCTAACTTACAACGGGGTAGGAGACCTCAATGCACATCTAATGAGCTATCAGGAAGGGCTCATGCTGTTGGGAGCCACCGATGCGGCTATTTACAGGTTGTTTTTTTAGCACACTCAGAGGTCCGGCTTAGGAATGGTTCGGCCAGTTACAGCCTTGGTTGGTACATCTCTTGCTACTTCTTTCTGTTTTAGTAAATCTACCCATTTGAATGCTTTACATTGGGGTTGACCTCTGCATCTTAAGAATGTGCATCCTTAACTTCTTGATTGTTGAGATGTGTATAGCTCTATGTTATTTGGGCAACCCTCTGTACAAGGAATGTGTTTATAGGTGCATGATTTGGCCCAATGACCTTGTTCTCCAGAATGAAACACTAAACAAAAGATTATATGTTAGTCGTGTTAGCAAGAACAACTTAATTGAACAAAACTCATACCTTGGTCCAGCTTGTTCCCCCTTCTTATGCAGCCATACGAGTATTCTGATTCAATACACATTTAGTCCTCAAATGTGTATTGTTTTATAGGGAGTAATGTGGAAGGGTAGTTACATATTGTTGGATGAGCAATTGAGCATTTATGAGTCATTTATGGTTTGATTTATACATTATTGTACTTTGACTAGTAAGTAATCAACAAAATTAGAGGACTACCACACACAAGAATTAGTGGGTTACGTTGTTGAATACTTTAATTTATGTTGTTGATTTAAATTTATTCTCTGCTTTTTCTTTCTTAGTTTTTAATTGTGTTCTTATCTTTTTTCTTTATGTTGTATCTGTTTTTTCAATAGGCCTGAGTTTTTTGTTTTGGGATTTGTGTTTGAGTCACTTTTGGGTTATGTCATTAGTGTGCATTTCAGTTTTATCTTAGGTTTTGTAGGCCTCATTTCAGGAATCAGTTTTGTAGCATGGGTTTTGTGTTAATAAAGGGCCGGATTGGGAGCTGTCTTGGAAGCCTGGGATGTGTTCTATGAAGCTGCCATGAGGGTATTGATGACATTTAGGTTTTTTTAGAAGTCTAACTAACAGACCCGGTTAGTTTAGGGTGTAAATACAGTTAGAATATGGAATTGTAGAACTGCTATCCTATTCATGCGGCACCCACATGTGATAAATACGGCCAGCATGATATACGTACAACATAAATAAAATGTTACATACATTATTTTATTATTTGGTTGACTAACAAATACTAAGAATTTTAAAATTCGGGAGCATAGGCAAATTAGGGGTATAAAAGAGGGTGCCAAGTCTAAATAATCCTTTTTTATTTATGCACTAATTTTCTAAAAAAAAGTATATCAAAATTCAATATTTTTTTTTATAATATTTCACATTACATTAATATTGTACATATAAAGTTAAAAAAATCTGAACTTCACCTACCACAGTTTTAGGCAAAAACTGCACAAACACAAATTTTAATTAATGGTGAAAGCTTTCACAAATAACTGAGTTTTACTTGAAATTTTTTATATTTTACTCACTGAAAAAAGTCAATAAAGTATTTAATGGATTTTTTATTTTTTAACAACAATATGGGCATTCTTAATTTCATATTTATTGAAGAAAAAACAAAAAACATTGCTAATAATAATTTAATTATTGTTTTACTAAAATGAAATGTATAAATCTTAACCTATCTTATAAAGGTCAGTTTTTAGTATTAAATGATCATGGTTTGTCATGGTTAGGCTTTAAAGTGTAGTACCATGTGCTATCATAGTGTGTCATATGAATTGGCTTTTAAATTACCAACTTCACCGTTCGACTTACCGTTAACGGAGTTAAATTCATTTGACGATGCTTGTGTTTAACGATGCTACTCCAGATATATGAGTAGATCCTCTATTTGTTATCATCTTTATATAGACTCTTCAATTGCTACAACTTTTAATTTTTCAGCGTTTGATTTTTCAGCATTTAATTGTTGTATTCACTTGCTTTCTTGGTTTAAATCCATTTTTTATTTTCCAACCAAAGTATCACAGGATTCCCACTTCTCTAATGGACAAGATGTACCATATCACCATTAAATATAATTTAATTTTATATTCATTTTTTATTTTCACCTAATCAAACACATAATGGGATTCAAAGTTCCCTTATCCCTTTCTCACGATCATGATCATCGATATCTAAGCTAAGGTATACTATTCTCTTCCCAATTGTTTATGAGTTCAGGTTGCATTTTATTTATTTTTTTGTTTTGCTTGGGAGCTATTTCCCTGTTATTAAAAAATTTTGGAGTGCTTGTGTTCTACAAATGTACACTTCGACAGAGCATAATTAATAAAGCTAACTATTTGAATTATTTGAACAAACTCATATGAAAAGAAATAAAATGCACCCGTTTGGTAGCACGAAAATCGGCTGATTTGACTGTTTCTGCTGAAATTTATGAAGTTCTGTCTGAAGTGGCTGCATTGGCTGATTCTGCTGATTTAAAAAAAATTAAAATATATTTTATTAATAAAATAAAGAAAAAATTATATATAAAATAGCTAGAATGGTCATCTACGGTAGCTTCAGCCAATACAATCAGAAAAGTAACTCCAACCCTACATTTTCTGCTTATTACACAATTCACCGCGAAGTTACATGTTTGGTCAAAAAGTTGGCTGATAAGCCTGATAACCCGAAAAACAGTGTTCCCATATGGCTTCTAAGTGTTTGATTATATGTCAAGCTTATTTCATTGTACTTACGGTCACATGCAGTTTTTAGCTAACACATATATCAGTTTTTCTTTTTGTTATAGATAGATTTCCACTTTTCCTTATAATTGTCCCCATTATTTTAGAGGAATATTCAATATATTTTATATATTCAATTTGATAAATAAAACATCTACTTCTTATTAAATTAAATAAGAATGGTGTCTTTGGCAGGATGCATCATCTTTGTTATTAATATATTCAAATAATTGTTTACATTATGAAGCATTATACAAAATTCAAAGGTAGTACAAATTGGGCATATTACATTCGCGCAACGCGCGACCAATTTTCTAGTATATGTGGATAAAATTATATGTGGATATTAATGTTTGAGATTTGGTCGATATCTCTAACACGTATGGTAGTTATTACTCCCTTAGTATGAAAATAATTGTTTCAGTTTCCTTTTCAAGTTGTATCAAATTAATTGTCTCATTTCTCTTTTTGAAAATAAATCTACCCTTAAAGCAGCTATATTCATGTATTAAAATATATAGCACGGCTAAAGGGTCAAATCTATATATCTATATATCTATATATATATTATATATGAGTGCCGTTCTTGTCCAGCCGGCCTGACGGGATGCTCCGTCCGGCCGAGGGCATTTCGGGCACTTCCCGGTGGAATTTTTTGATGAAATTTTTTGAGCATGTTCTTCATGAAGTCTAGTTTATCCATACCAAATTTCAGCTCAAAATTCGATCGGTAAGGCATTCAAATAATTTTGTGAAGTTAACTGGGCAGTTTATATGTATGAACTGCCCAGTTAACTTCAAGAAATTATTTGAGTGCCTTCCCGATTGAATTTTTAGCTGAAATTTGGTATGGATAAACTAGACTTCATGAAGAACATGCTCAAAAAATTTCATCAAAAAATTCCACCGGGAAGTGCCCGAAATGCCCTCGGCCGGACGGCGGTTCCCGTCAGGCCGGCTGGACATGAAAAGTCCTCTATTATATTTATATATATTAAGTCACTTAAGTCTATTTCCGGCTCAATCACCTAAGGTCATTTACGTAAATACATATAATCTTCGCGTGTGGGACTGTGGCTATCTACTCTCCAGACTCCAACCCTTTTACAACTCTTTCTACATCTTCTTAACCGTTCCTTTGCTCTGCCAATCTTCTTCACCTTTCGACATCTAGACTGATCTGGCAATTCCTTCACTTATCTACGATGCCGATGACTCCTGAATTCATCCTAGGTATGGCTCTCATTGATTTACAAGGCTTTCAGATGTCAACGACTCAACTTCTAAGTTCTAACTTGCTCGGAGTGTCCATCCCAACCAAACTTCTATAAAAATACACTACGCGTGTCAATTATATGCAGGTCGGATTGTTTTGTTATTTGAACTAGGACATCTTTGACTCAACCGATCCATTGAATCATCTAAAGTTACCTTATATCTGAAATCGACAATAAATTATATGCAGGTTGGACTGTCTGTTTTTTTATTTGAACTAGGACATCTTTGACTCAACTGATCCATGGAATGCTCTAAAGTTACGTTATATCTGAAATTGATAATAAATTCACAATAGATAGTACAGGATCAACGAGAGTGAAGTTTCTTGCTTTCTTGCTGTCTATACCACTCCCAACATTGAGTTGAAGTATGAGGCTTATCCCATGACTTTTGATGACAGAAAGATTGATTTCAATGGTACGTTTGATTTAAAACACTATAGGCTGTCTATACGTTTCTAGCAACTGTAGTATTTGTTTTTCTCATCCATGGTTGAGTAATTAGAAGTCTCGGCCAAAACTACCGCATGAAATAACAATGATATAAAATTGGAGAAAACATTAGTTATTTTGGTCAGAGTAGTAAAGTAGAGAATATTCCCAGCAAAGAACAGACGGTACATATGTATCCCATTTATACATGTTAAATTTTAGTAAACAATTCAATCTATATTTAATTAAACCAACTAAATAACCTGCCTAAAATTCCGTCTGAGGCCAGCAAGATATCAAATTGAAGCTTTTGATGTGCTCTATCAACTCATGTCTCTTTTGTCTCATTACGGAGTCCCACGCTGTAAAATGTGGATCCCAGAATTTATGGGACAAATTGGCAGTTTTCATAAACAAGGGTTATTATGGTATAAAGGAGGGAGTGATACATTATCGAAACAAGATGCTGAGAGTTATAAATCTAATATGGAAACACTAATACACAACTTCTGCTGCGATGTGAATTTGCCCTATTTGCCAATTATTGAGGTTGCTATTGCATCAGGGGATGAAAAGCATTGGAGAAGTAAGAAAAGCACAAAAGATGATTATCCTTCCAAATGTGGTGTGTGTTGATGCCTTAGGATTGCAGCTCAAGGATGATAAACTCCATTTGACTACATAAGCTCAGGTTCAACTTGGCCAAATGTTATCTGAAGCATATCTTACCCATTTTGCACAGAACATTTCCTCTTCTGCTGATCTTTGAGTCGTGGAGTGTTTCATTAGGGCATTTCGTAACTCTAACTCTTCGCTTCTATTTAACGTCTACCCACCTCTCTATTGGAAATATCAGACTAACACAGCATACACTCCTTGGCCGTCTTAGGATTTCCATGAACAAATTACGCCATATAGCTTGAAAAAACTCAAATTATCTCACTCCCACCCATGCTTCTCCTTCGCCCTCCTCCTTGATCAGACGTTCCCGCTTGAATAAGGATGTATCCTGTGATTCCTGTCTCTGAATCTCTTTCTAGCTACTCTGACTGAAGAGTACATTTAGTAGCCGGCCTCAAACTCTCCAGTTTGTGAGTAAGTATTATCCATTTATCTGTCAATTTTACTGTCAATTTATAAATCTATTACATTAATAGCCTTAACAACAGCTGTGCAAATTTGGTTTTCTGGCAGACTTCATGCCTTCGTTTGCTTGGAAAATCTGCCGGAGAATTCCCCAACATCATTATGTTATGGTAATCCCCACCAGACACTATCTTTTTTCTGCCAAGTTATTTTTGTTATTATATAGGTTGCATATACTTTTGATATGACATAATCAATTCAATATAGATGCTACTAGAATAAGTGCAACATTTACATGTTTAAGAGAGGCTATCACCTAATGGCTGCCAAGACAAGAAAAAAGATTTGGTGGATTGTGATTTTGTCTTTAAAGTTGATAGTCAATCTGGCTCTGCCTTAACCGGAAAGAGTTACTCCATTCGTATGGGCTCAACAGACCAAAATAAAATTGAGTGTAAGTCTGTTGGAGCCAATGAGTCTGAAACACATGTACAATTTTCTATACGTTTACTGACTACGTTACACTAACTACATTTAGGTCTGTTATTGGTGTGTACAATCCTGTGACACCATCAAGAAGCATTCTTATATTCTGCGATTGGATATTTTCATCTTCCTCATAGTATTTCCTCTTTTCACCTTTATTATACTACTTTTATTAGGACTCTCAATTCTTAAAGACTTTTTTATTGGTCAAGTAAAAATTGGCTCTTTTAGTTTATGTATTTCTTATGTGGGTGTTTTTGTTCATCTGAATTGTGGGTTTAGAGATCATGTCAATTTAGGCATTGGGGGTCAAGATCATTTCAATAATTTCTTGACAACGCGGAAGGGGGAGGAGGAATGCCTCTACTGAGCTTTAAGTTTAGACTCTAAATGTTTGCCTAACCCATAATGACTTAAACTCTGCCTGTAGTTATCTCATCTCTGAATCTGGATGATGAATTACTCATACTGATATCAAACTTCTTTTTTCTGTTGATATATTTGTGAATATTGAGAAGGAAGTGTTGTTTTTGGTATTGTTGTCTATTAAGGAGTTGCTAGAAATGACGTACGGTGTGAGGAATAGCAAGTTGATTGGACAGCCGATGAGGAGTTCACCTTATGCAAGGTTGATGAGGAAGATAACGAAGTGCCTTCATTCAGGGGAACGGTTAGGGGCAAATGTAATGGTCCCTTCTTCCGAATCACTTGCGACAAGAGATTATTATTCAGCAAGTCCCCAGCCATCTTTAGCTGGAGAAGTTGATCATAGCCGGATACTGGCAACATTGAAGAGACTGAGTCTTCTTTGCACGAGAGTGGTTCTTTAAACAATATATGAGATTACGAGGTTTGTTTTCCTCTTGGTGGGAGAGGGTGGGGTCTTTGATAACTTTCATTTGTAAATCTGTTTAAAAAGATGAAATAGCCAATTAAGAAAGATGAGATGAAAAAGAAATATAAAACTACAATGAAACCAAACAGGTATTAAAAAACAATTTCCCGACCTACTAGCTGATGCTTGGTCGGTGTGTTTGTTAAATTGGTATTGTAAATGCATTCCTGAAAGCTAAGTTTTATAGCATGACAGTGAGATCATTGTTGATATCCTTAGTCCGTGAATGAGTAGAAATGGGCTTGTGATCATTTGCACCAACCAAGTACACTGCTTATAGTGGTACACTTGTACTCACTAATCACTAATCACTATCCTTTGTGTGCTTTTTTTTTTGAAATATAATTCTTAGTTTGACTTTTTAACAATCTATAATCTACTCCCTTCGTCCTTGAATTATCTTCCAAATTTTGTTTTTTCGTCCTTCCCAAAATAGTTTTCCATGGCCTGATGAACAATAAAAAAGGTACTACCTCCGTCCCATTTTATGTGTCTTAGTTTGACTTGGCACGATTATTAATGAAGTGGTTGAAAAAGTAAAAGTTGTGGTTGAGGTTTGAGTATAATAAAGTGAATTGGTGTAGTACACATATTTCTTTTCCAAAAAGGAAAGTGGACACTTATTTTGGGACAGCCCAAAAAGGAAAGTAGGACAGGTAAAATTGGACGAAGGGAGTATTATATTTTGACACTTTGAATAAATTTTTATGAATCTTTTTCTTTCTGATTAATCAAAATGTTATTGCTGCTGGGGATTGTGGACTGGGGGCAAGGCTAAGTGTTGTTCAGTTTATGTTCAAGCCTAAAGCTTATGTGGAAGGATGGATGCAGGCGCAACAGACAACCTGCAGCAAGGGAAAGAGCAGGCTGTCAGCCTGTCAGGCTACCCGTGATGGAAATGACTGGCAGCTGAATTTTTCACGTACTGAATTATGTAATATTTTTCACCAAATACGTAATATTTGATTTCACGCACTGAATTATGTAATAATAAGAAAAAATATGGTAAGAGTTGCTTTTCTGGTTGTATTGACTAAAGTTAATCTAGATGATCATTTTAGCTATTTTTCATATAATTTTTTATTTATTTTATTAATAAAATATATTTTAAATATAATTTTTCATAAATCAGCAGAATGAGTCAACACAGCCACTTCAGCCAGAATTTCATAAATTATAGCAAAATCAACTGATTCAGCCGATTTTAGTGCTACCAAACGGGGTCTAGAGCATCCCAAAAAGATTTGTCATTTACATTTAAAGTAAGGAATATGTGACTAAAGTTAATTCTCTCTCCGCTACACAAATTTCAACCACACAATTTTTATTTTATTAATCCACGTGAAAGTCAAAGTTGGCGAACCTTTTCGGGACAGAGGGAGTATATGATTTAGTGAAGATTAAGTCTTTTAATTTTTTCCATATTAATTATTTATTATAAAAACATTCTTTTGGTCTTTCAATAGTGCAATAAAAAGGATGTCCTTAAAAATGTAGTCATCGTATATATTTAAATTACAAAAGCAACACAATTATGGTTTTCGATAGATAGTTTATATAGTTTTAAAAGTAGCGCACAATATTTTCGAAGGGTGACAATGTTTACTTTGCAAAGATTAACACGTTAAATAATTCTTTAAAATGTATTTTTCAGCTATAATAATACAATTCTTTGAAATAATTTCCAAACATAATAGGTCTACTCTATTTTATGTGGAGTAGTTTTGTGTCACTTCCATTTAATTTAGGATCCCGTGCAACGCACGGGTAAAAGACTAGTAGGTACATAAACTAACTTAAAATGTTCAATTAGCCCCTTATATAGGAGGTTCTGCCCGGCCGTCGCCAATTGGGGCATTTCCCGATGGAATTTTCTGATGAAATTTTTTGAGCATCTTCTTCATTAAGTCTAGTTTATCCATACCAAATTTCAGCTAAAAATTCAACCGGGAAGGCAGTCAAATGATTTTTTGAAGATAACTGCGCAGGTAAACAACGCAGTACATTTTGAAAAATCATTTGACTGCCTTCTCGATTTAATTTTTAGCTGAAATTTGATATGAGTAAACTAGACTTAATGAAGAAGATGCTCAAAAATTTTCATCGAAAAATTCCACCGAGAACCGCCCTAATTGGCGACGGTCGGGCAGAACCTCCTATATAAGGGGCTAATTGAACACTTTAAGTTAGTTCATGTACCTATTTGACCCTTTAGCCTATATAGCACTGCTATAGTACCAAAAAAATCTTAATTTTTATAAAACCTACAATAATTAAAATACGTGAAAAGGCAAATTGGATAATTATTTTGATAGAGAGTAATAAACATATGTGAGCATGGAGAACGTTTCTCATACATTTGGATATGATGTACAAGAAGTGTCCTCCGGCCAAGACCATTTGAGGTACTTCCGGTTGGAAATATTTGATGAATTTTTTTGAACATATTCTTCATTAAGTTTAGATTATGTCCACAAAATTTATGATTAAAATTCAATTGGGAGATTAGTGAATTACATCATCGGAAAATTTTGCGCTAATTTATATACATAGTATATAGTAATTTTCCGGTCAGGACTTCTTGAACGGAACCGCCATCCGGACGCCTCCATTTGAGATGGTTCCCGGTGGATTTTGTATATCAATTTTTGTGAGCACGTTCTTCATGAAGTGTAAATTTTGTCCACAGAATTTCAACTTAAAATTTGGACGGATAGTCAGTTAAATTTATTATTGGAAAATATTGTGCCAAAAAATACATATAAAATGCAGTGCTTTTCAATAATTTATTTAACTGACTTCACAATCAATTTTAAGCTGAAATATTGTAGACACGATCTACATTTCATGAAGAACATGCTCATTCATCAAAAATAACTCCACCGGGAACCGCCTCAAATGGTCACAGCCGGACATCATTTCTCGTACATCCAAATATATGAGAAAAGTTTTATGCGAGCATGTATACATATTACGTTGGGATCCGGAACCTCTTCCTTGCTTAGCAGCAAGGTAGGGTGCCTGACTTTGAAGGGTCGTTCGGAAAAAAATCAACGATGGCAGATCTTGGAGGACCGCATCTCAAGGCGCCTTCTTCCTCATCCGTTTGTCCGTTTACGCAAGGCACCTCGGCCGCAAGGAAAAGGATCTCAATCCATTACATTGTGGGGGAGTGGTCATATGGTTTGTAGGATCCTACTAGAAAAATGCCTTATAGTGACACCAAATTAGTGTCACTAAAAGTTTCTGTGATAATATCTTTCATCTTCCATGCAATAATACTACGTACGGGAATTGCATGCCTTGCATTTGCATGTATGAAAGGGGCATTATTAATATTACATCTAAAGAAAATAGATAAATGATATGATACAGTGTACAAAATAGAATAAACTATAAACTTCAATCTATGAGTGTATTCTATTGACAAATGCTAGAATATAAGGAAAAATGGAATCGACGGAGACTATACATTATTATCGTATTGACATAGTTTATATTTAAATTTTTAAATAGTGCAGGGATAGCAGGGATAGGGTGTCACGCCCCGGGCCAGCCGGCGACGTCGACAATATAATTTAGGTGGTATCAGAGCAACCCTGCGACAGTGTGCTGACCCGTTGGATATCGGGCAGTGACGAGCACTTTGTCATGGTGCGTCAAAATAACACTTATACGTAGTATAGTGAAGTGGAGTTTGTATCCACAGGGAAAGGAATAATTCTCTTTTTAGTAAAACTAGTAAATAAGGGGTGTTTTGGGATTGAGTGATTTAATTTAATTAAATACGAAGATGAACGACTTATATGAGATTTAATTCAAAGATAAAAAGGACTTGGCATTGCTACTTTCCACTTGTTGATATATTTTAGTCAATCATTGTTATATCTATAACTTATCCCCTCTCGAATACTCAATCGAGGAGTATATCCAATTCATCGAGGGTAGTTACTAACAACGACCGTTCATTAATAACCCTTACTATTAGTCAATTATAGAACACCGTCGTATACCGACTTGATAGTAGCATTTAATCTCTTAACTCCTTGATGAAATCAATTGAGATTGATAACCTCAACACAATGGTTTCGGTTTAACCAACAAAATTAATCCCTCTTAAGTTTATTAACCACGACCGTGCATTAATAAACCGAAGTTACTTACTTGTGAAACCATCAACGATTAACAAGCGTATTCGTCGATCGATTCTAGTAATAATTAATATATGAAACAAAACTAGTGGATCCTTTAAGTAATGTTCAAAATATTAATATGAAATATGAATAGGAATTAATTAATATTCAAGGAAGAATATTAGAGATGGTAAATCCTACTATAACTAATGTCAAGATGTTAACTAATTGTCATCTTAGCAACACTCCCCAACATTAATATATAGATGAAGAAAATAAATACTACCATAGCTAATGTCGAGATGTTAACTAATTGTCATCTTAGCAACACTCCCCAACATTAATATATAGATAGATTAAGGGAAGAATTAATATTCAAGGGAAGAAGTTAAGAAAATAACTCATAACTTTAATAATCAACAAGCTTCAAGAGCAACACCAAGAAATGGAAGTTTAGCTCCTCATTTGGAGACTAAACACGCTATAAAAATATAAAAGAAATACTATTCTAAACTGAGCTTAAGAGTATGGAAGAAGGAATGATTATTTGTGAAGGAAAAATGTGCTATTTATAGGTGTTTTTCAACACCTTTGGATGGTTACCCGACCGGGTCAAGTGCCCACCCGACTGGGTGCATGTCAAAATCAGATAATCTTCCACGTTCTTGTGTTTCAGCACGTTAAAATGTCCCGGGTCAAGTCAGATCCGACCGGGTGGGGTAGGGGACCCGACCGGGTGAGTGCACTTTCCAGGCACTTTCGGTTGTTTGAATCAGACCCGACCGGGTGAAGTCTTCTACCCGGTCGGGTATTTGCTCCTGGACAGTCAAAATTCCCTTTTCTTCACTTCAAAGTCCTCCTTTCAACACCATAATTCCTAATTCTACTTTACAGCTTACAAATGAGAACTAAAATACAATTACAACTAAAATCACACAAATGTTTACAAACTAAATAAAATGGTAAACAATCCACACAAATCAAACATAAAAAGATACATTTATGCACTACTAATTAGTGCATATCAGGCAGGCACTTAGCGGGGGAGGATTCTGGGATTTGATTGAGATTTGAGATTGGTTTATGGGTGCTACGAGGACGTTGCGTTCCTAAGTGGGGGTGATTGTAATACTTGAGATTTAATATAAACGAACGGATTAATAGTACTACTCATACCAACAAGATGTATCTCCTTTTAAGGGAGCTCATTACCAAGAACTCCAAATTTAAGCGTGCTTGCACGTGTGAGGACAAAGTGCGTGAAAAAGGCTAGTGGCGGTTTGTGAGGACAGTACTAGAGATCTGGAGTAACTACCTCGGGTCCTGAGGGGCCGGGGTGTTACATAGGGATAATTTAAGGCGACTAACTTATGCACATACAATATTTTTATATGCATACAGATATAAATTAAAAATATGAAAAAAAGACATAATTTGTTTTTTTCTTTTGCCAAAAAAAATCTTTTGTTTCTTCTTACATATTCTGAAAATGGTGAATCCCACATTCCAACTTTAAAACTTATTGTTGAGGTTTATTCCTTCAACCTTCAGGCCCAACACGTAAGCCCAAGGATTTCGAATGGAGTGTGTATGGTTAAACTAGCCCAACGAGCAGATGATATGGATTGGAAAGAGCAAGAAAAGTAGCCAGTAAGTGATTAGGTATTATTATCTCTTAATAACTCCCTAATACAATACTTTTCGCTAAGGCTCCGTCGGCCGTTCGTCTTACAAGGCAGTTAGAAGTGCTGCGAGTAAGAATGCTATAGCTAGAGTGCTAAGAATAGAAAGTTGCCAACCCTTTACAATGAAATAAATGCTTCTATTTATACCCGCCAATGGGCAGGTGGCTATGCTGACGTGGAGGCCTGTGGACCGCTGGTGTCCCAACCACCAAATCTTCAGCATTAAATGCACTTCCCGCCAGAATCTAGGTTTCCCGCCTAAATAGTGGGGACGTTCGTCCGTCCGGGAAGCGAGCTGGATTCCCC